GCACTCTATTCACTTTGCTTCTTTTCATTCTATACTCGCTCGCCTCCGACTATTTTGATGAACGCAAACTATTCCTGCTTGCTTTGTGGATGCAAATTGCCGCCATCTTGGTACTAACATGGATTGGATTCAGCTGGGATCACATCACAAGTGCTCAAAACTACATGTTATTGCTGTATATATGTCTTGGCATGCCTTACTTCGCTTATCCATTCAGTAATTCCATTCTGTCGAAGATCACTGACGCGCGCAACGCGTCGTTCTATCAAGGCGTGTCTTACGCAGCATTGCAATCGGGTAGCCTGATTTGCCGTGTCGCTGTCAGTTTCGTGAACACAAAAGAACGTTTGATCATTCATTGTTTTGTCTTAATGTTTCTCTGGTTGCTTGGCTTGATATGGTTTGCTGTACATTACAAACAATTTGTTGCGAGCGAAGAGAAAAATCGATAGATTCTTAGGAAATTGACTGTGATCATTCCTTCATGAAATGTTTGAATGTTTCTGATTTACAGTTATATTTTTATTTCCAAAAAAAACTATCAACTGAAACAGAGCTGCTGCACATAGGGTGCTTTCCGAGGCTATTACTCATTGCGAAGATCGACTTTTTAAAAAATAACTATTTCAATTTTGTGATGGAGAAGGTTGTAGGGGGGGGGGGGGGTATCCCCCCCTATAAAAAGTGGGGGTAGGTCCCCCAGGATTGACTCCTTTGCTAATGATTGTAGAAAGATTTCACTGAGGAAGTGCACATGATGGTCAACCAACAGTAATTAAAGTGATGAAATAATGTGTAGAATTATTTTGATAATATGTCGTAGTTTAGTATTTACTGTCAGAGATACAACGACGTGAAAAATAGAAGTAGAACTTGGACGTTTGGAACCAAACTAACTTCACAACGAAGAACCTTCCTTCCAAACATCCAAATTCTGCTTGTATTTGTCAGCTAGTTGTATCCCTCTCTATCCCCAGCTATCCTGCATCTTATAACACTCACCACAGCCCAACAATAGAATCAAAATATGAAGAAACAACTCAACAGAATAGCAATATGAATTATCGTGAAATTAGATTTTTTGAAAGTATACATAACATTTTCATAAGTATACACAATGAAAATCAGAATATTTCTAAAAAATAGTTAAAAATAACTTCTAAACAATTATATCTAATCCAAACTATATTAACATTATTATTAACATAACATGCAAATTGTCAAGTTCAATAGCTCGTCATATAACAATCACAGTTCTCATTTTGGAAGTTCATTTATGAATTTTCATAGATTGGTTTTAATATCGGTACCAATGCTGCGGATTTTTAAACAGCTAATTATTAGCGAGGATAGAAATGAATTGAATGACACTAAGATTATTAAAATTTGTCTAGTAGAACGAATTTTATGATGTTTAAAGTAAGGGGTAAACCTATTAATACATGTCATGCATGATTTCAATGGTCCATTGCGTGATCCAGACTTTATTTTAAATCAGCCAACAGATTATTGACTCCACGAGACCATATTTAACAATCTTAGTATCAAAATTCATCTCTTGGATTCAATGTTCCATGTCTACTCGGAATTTGACTAAACACTATCGTGCAGCAGATGATATTCAACCTGCAGTTATCAGAGTGAGAAAATAATTTGAGTTGTTTTCATTGAATGAAACTGTGTTTTTGAGGCGAATGAATAGAATTAAGAGACGTAGTTTCATTTATTTCTGCTATAAGTATGAACATTTGTGAAGTTGACGAGCATCTACTGCTCTGTAACACTTGCTCACTGATAGTCTTCTGTCAATGTCTTCATCACTGTTCGTATGAGATTTTGAAAATTATATTGATGCCATGCAAATCTACATACAAGTTATCTTGAGTTTTATTAAACATTTACATACCATACTTCCTACAGTCTATGTTACTATATATACACTATATTTACTTTCCACAATATTTTGTTAAGTTATAAAAGGCAAAGATTACAATATTAAGTTTTCTATTCACCTGATTATAAAACTTCGAAAATGTTGATGTAAAATGTATGTTGTAAAGCGTATCTATAAAAACTAGTTGCGAGGTTTCACTACAGCATTTGCCAAAACCCTTTTTTCTTTCATTCCTGGCATTTCTTTCCACTGATCATCTCCCATTGTGAAACTTTCTACTGAGTTGAGAAGTCTCTCTTCCTTATTCCATCCTCCCAATACAACAATGACGTCATGCATGATAACAGCTGATGCACCACGCCTCTTGTGTTTCAGTGAAGGTAATCTTTCACTTCGCCCTGACTCAATGTGATACATGATGACGTCATTTAAAATTTGATCATTCTTATCCACCCCGCCGACAACAATGATCGTATTGCCCCAAGCAACTGTGGACATTCCTGAGACAGGCTTGGGCAACGATGCACATGGCTTAATCTCGTTCTTGATGAAATCATACACGACAACACTATTTGTGGCATCTTTATTCTGTCTTGTTGTGGTTCCTCCCAAGATAAATAACTTCCCGTTAACAATCTCCGCTCCGTGGTGTTGTCTTGGCTGAGGCATTCTTGCGATAACCTTGACAGTATAAGGCGGGGCAAGGGATAATTCATAAATTACATCGGATATTTTCCTTTCATTCCAGTTATCTCCTCCTATGATATATAATTTATCTTGGTAAACTGTGACGTCATGACCGTGTAACTTGACGGGCAGTTTACCATCAAACATCGTCCATCGCAAAGGATGCTGCTTCATCTTTAAAATTTCGATCAAGTCAATACCAGCTTGATCATCGTAACCTCCGGCAACGATGACGTCACCGTTGTAAACACATGATGCTGATGCTGTTCGAGTGAGATTCATTCCTGGTAGTTGAGTTGACTTGCCTTCTATTATGCTGTATTTTTCAACTGTTTTTGATATATTTTCCATTTTTGGGCCATACCGACCACCAAGAATAATAATATCTTGGTTGTTGGCTGGAACTGCTGGATCCATAGCTTGAGCGCCATTGTTGGTTACATTGCTTTCTTGCAATGCTTGCTGAACCATTATCATCATTTTTTCAAACTGCTGGTTCATATCGTCAACACTTTGCTGAATTGAAAATAAAATACTTTATAACTACGTCACAGTGCAGCCCTCATAATTCGCCAAAGTTATAACCGCAGCTGATAAATAATAATTTACTCGATTAAAACTTTTGCGTGCGTATGGGCGGACGAATGAAAAACTCTCAACTGAAATGCAGCCTTTAATCTTTGTGATGGACTATACCCGGTGATGCAAAAAAGTTCTGTTTGATTTAGTATAACTTCAAAACTAAAAGAACTATTACAATTAAACAAAGTTACGTTGCTTTCAAACTTAAATTTTGATATATGTATTTTCATGCAATATTGACCGAGATAGCTGCGTTTAATTAAACTTGAGTAGATATTTTTGGAAGTGTATAGAATTAGCTGAAACAGCGTATTAAACTAATTTGATGACCGTTACTATTTTATCGCAGGTCATTCGTTTCAATCAAGTGAAGTTGAAGTTTAAAATATTTATTGGATGGATATATGCTCTTTTATTTTTGTTTTACGATCTTTGCCTTTGAAATGCATGAAAATTAACTTATAATATAAGGCTGTTTTGATTAAAAGTTTTATTTTAAATATTCAATGTCGCTGCGCAATCCAATTCTAATGTTCCAAAGAAACGTGGCGTGTTTTTTATAAACATGCTTCGTTTAATGAAGGACCAAACAGTTTGGATTTGTTTAGAATATGCAAGGGTGAATAATGTTCGTGAGGTTATACGGCGTTGGGCAGGTCACTGACGTAATTTTCCTACTCGAGTGAGCGAAAGTTATGAAAACGTTTTGAAAGTTTGTGCGAGAGGTATTTACTGATAAATAAACATTTGTCTGTGAAAAACGAATGTGTACTTTCTGACTGAAGTGCGTCTAAACACATGTTATTGCTGTTCTAATATTGAATAAGCCGTTTTTGGCTAATTTTCGACACTTACTTAAGTTTAAACGCAGCTGTCAACATTGCATGAAAATGCAGATGGCATAAATTTAAGTTGGAAATTACTGAATGTAACGCACCTTGTTTAAGCCTAGTTCACATATACCTACGGTATGTCGGCGGGCTATTGTCGTTAGCAGTTCAACCAAATAATTCACAAAAGAATGTAAACTATGCATCAACAGCTGTAAACAATGATAGCTCAGGCATATACCGCAGGCATATATGTGAACCAGGCTTTAAGTGTAATGGCTCTTTTAGTTTTGTAGTTACACCAAATAGCCACCCGGTATACTACTAAAACAATTCAGTTTTCTTCATAGATCATAATTTCAGGTTTGAAATAATCCATTGTCATCGCCAACAATACACAAGACAATTTTATTCGTCTCTGTCCAAAGCTGCAAAGAACTGCAAATAATCCGGGTAAAGACCTACCTACAACGATCATGTTTTGTGATTTGCTTTCAGAAACAAATCGGAAACAAAAATGATGATTGTTCGTGACTCGTTCAATAGAAAGACGATTTCTATAGTTTTATTGTATTTCATTGTTGTAATCAACCAACCACGAGCCTGGATAGTATAGGTAGATGATGACCCAATAATCATGACATACCTTTGTTCGATCTTGCTTTCTTTCCATTCCTGTGATTTTATCTTTCATTTCTTTCAATTCCACTTTCATCTCATCCTGTACATTTTTATAAACTATGATTAGTAAAGGAAATGTAAATAAATATCCTCCCAAAGTTGACGTACAGAAGATTTATTTTTATGGCCATGTAAATCTAAAACGGACCAATCTTATCTTACCTTTATTTTTTCTTGTTTTCTTTCCAATCCAGTGATTTTTTCTTTTATTTCGTTCAATTCCACTTTCATCTGTGCTTGGGAATGTTTTATTTCGTCATTATTTTTCTGAATTGTAAAATTTAACTTTTGGTAAATGTGTTGCATTGTTGCTGTTAACCAATTATACCTATCGCAATTCAAATCCATTGGCAACCGAAAAGTCTTGTTTTACCTTGATTTCATCTTGTTTTCTTTCTATTTCTTCGTTTTGAACTTTCATCTCAGATTGGGATTTCTGAATTATATTGTTATATATTATTTCAAACATGATACTGTATACATTTTGACAAACTATAATATAATTAGTATATATAAATACATATATCTTGCAAAATGTCTTCCCTGAGTAGATCTACAAAATTATTATTTTGATTGCCTTTACCTTTATGTCATCTTGTTTGATTTCCATTTCATCGATCTTGACTTTAATGTCAGCTTGGCAGTCCTGAATTGCAGTATTAGTTTGGTAAACACGTTCTCTGACTGATTATTATTTATTTATTTTCAAAGCAATTATACCTTCCGCCACTAACATACCTATACCTGCAGTATACATATATCTTCTTACATTTCTTCCCAGAACAGATCTATAAAACTATTATTTTGATTGCCATGCAAACCTCCAAAGTATAAATAAACAATCTTTATTTTACAATGTGATTAGAAGCGAACTTTCTCTAAGCTTCATTTAAATGTAATAATTTTCTTTTTAGTAACGACCAGAAGGCTTTTTTATAACAAATTTAATAAATTGTAAACGTTGTTACAATTTATTAAATTTGTTATAAAAAAAGCCTTCTGGTCATTACTAAAAAGAAAATCTTTATTTTACCTTGATGTCATCTTGTTTGATTTCCATTTCATCGATCTTGACTTTAATGTCAGTTTGTGTTTCCTGAATTGCAGTATTAGTGTTAAAAATGATACCAAAGATAGCTCTTTATACATTTTGACAAACTATCGTTAATATGTTAACAATAAATAGATATCTTGTAAAATTTCTTTTCGACAGTAGATCTGAAAAATAGTTATTCTTATCAACTACTACAAAACCTGCTAGTGACTAAGAAAATCTTGTCTCACCGTTCCATTCTTTCCATATTTACCTTTATTTCATCTTGACTTGCTTTCATTTCGTCTTGACTTGCTTTAATATCTTTGCAGTCGTGGCACTTGGGAATTCTAAACTGGCAGAGTTCTCTCTCATGGATTTCTTTATCTCTTTTATTGACCACCGTCCCACATCCTTCATTTCCACACATAACAGGCGCAAATCCACATCGCTCAACATGATGCTGTAAATTTCCAAGCTGGACGTAGCCCGGACATCCACGATCATTGTAATCACACTTGATTTTCAGCTCTGATAAGGTATTCTTCAAAAATCTCGGTGGATCTGTGAGGGTTTCTGGGGTCAGGTGTTCTCTGCATTCAGGGCATGTGTGGGAATTACGAAGATGTTGAGATATACAAGAAAGACAAAATGGATGTTCTTTATTCTGGCAAGTTTGTGGATTTCTGAGCACCCCTTGACAAATAGAACAGAAAAGATCTTCTCTGACTCGACCTTCAAAACGTCTGTCATCGTAACCTTGCTCATCGTTTTCCATTCTATACGCCATTGGTGAACGCTTGAAAGAAAATTGTTAAATTTTAGATACGGTGGAACACTTGTTAACGGGGATAACAAAACCTTCTTACATTTTGAAAGCCACTCAATCGAAACGGAAACTTTGTAGAAAAACTATGACGACAAGTGGGGGCATGAATTAAAGGAGCCAATATCACCTAAACAAGTATTAGTCTAAGGTCGCGAGTCGTTACAGTTCTCTGTGTTCAGGAGAAAAGGGATTAAATAATTTGTGCAATATGAAATAAGATTTTCATTCTAGGATCAGAAATGCTCAAACTGTAAGATTAAAAACCGCAACAAAGACAAGTACATGTGGAGGATGATGTGAACAATTCACAAGATAATTCTTTACGCTTTTCAAATCAGACTGAAACGAGACAAAAGTAAAACATGAACTTGTATATTTTGACCGTCTACATGGTACTATACTGCCCATATTTACAATCTGTTGCGTATTTGGGTTTGGAAACCGAAACTATCGTAGCATGCATCAACGTTTTTCCACAATAAATTAGTAACTATATAAATGTATTACAACAGATTGAAACGATTGGTTAACTTCAAAATCAAACATGCTACAAACATTATTCTTATTTTCCCATAGGAAGCTTTATAAATTTCGCGGACGAATTCTGTTTATTTAGAAGTTTATTCACATGTGCATGTATGCCCATTGTATGTTTTATTCACATGTGCATATATATGCCCATGGAGGTATGCTTTTTATTATTGTGGGAAATTGACAATTTCTGCAATGTTGAGGTAAATTTTTGACCAGGATTGTAGCTTCGTCTCTGGTTAGAACAGATTAAGTAATATGTATAAATATGGAAGTCAAAACTATTTACCTAATGATAAAATCCAGTAATTATCTCTTAACAATTACTTTCTCAGAAATGTCAAAAACCTTTCTGCAAACATATATATACCTGCAAATAACAACGAATAAAATCATCAGGATAGAATATTAGCATAAGATTATTGTGATATAGAATGACATTTTTTTATATTCTCTTTCATACCAATCACAAAAAGTCTTCCTACACCATACATGTGATACATGTATGTTTTTGCTCTACAAAAATTCTAGACTAATCCTATACATTTTCTTATCAAGCGTCTATAAATGTATTTATTTATTTCAGTTGGTCTTGATTAGCAAATACATGTATTCTATCTAGTCTAAAGATCGTTGGCGAGTTGAATAACATGAAATTAAAAACTGTATAATCCAGCGCTCTACAGAGATTGGGCACAAGTTGTTATGTATGCTTTATAAGTACATCAGCAATTTTATTCCGTTATCTAACTTACATTTTGATAAAAAGAGTTAATCTGGTCAAAATTGCGTTAGAGCATGTAGGCTACAGTAAAAACTTGCGCATAAAGCTATTTACCTGTAAGGCAGAACTCAGATAATAATTTCCTTTCAATGTTCAATGACCAGGGAAATTACTGTCTTCTTTAGTGATCAGGGAGATTGCAGATTTCTTGGAAAATTTATGAAGAAACCTCTCAACCTTGTTGAGCTATCAAATCTACAGAGATTGGTGATGAGTTTTTATCCTTTATAAGTGCACGAGATTTAAACTCTCAACCTTCAGAAATCTAGTCCACTGCTCTACCTGTTGAACTATCAAGTCTACAGAGATTGGTGATGAGTTCTTAGTTATCCTTTGTAAGTACACGAGATTTAAACTTTCATCCTTCAGGAATCTAGTCCACTGCTCTATCTGTTGAGTTATCAAGTCTACAGAGACTGGTGATGAGTTCTTATCCTTTATAAGTACACGAGATTTAAACTCTCAGGAATTTGGGCAAGCTATAGGGATTTGCAGTAATGTATTTCTAGTGTATCCTATATTTTACACTCGATCTAACATAATAAAGTTATTGCAGGTCAAAATTTCAGAAATGAACACAATTTATTCGCGATGCTATTATGTGGCCCATCCCTAACTGCACATGCGCATTACAATGATTACATGTTTAAACAAGCAAGCGTAGGATGACTAACACCGCGGAAAAACGTCTGCGCATGCACCAAATTATGAAAATATGGCGGGGAATTTGAATATCAATTTCTAAAACAAAAACATGCTTATTAATTGGTGAAAAGTAGTAAAACAAACGAGAAAATATAGCAAATGGGTAGACTAGACATTAATTGAAAGCGTCCTGGCATTTAAAGTATGGAATGAAATATAATTCATGTAAAAAAATGTTGATTTGAACGGACACGACTTCGAAAATTTTTCCAAAATTATTCAAAACAAAAATTCAAGCTAAAAAGTTAAGAAAACTCTCGAAAAGTTAAGCTTCTTAACCCACTCAAATTGTAGAATAAATCCTAAAGTTTAATTATTGTGAACACGCAAATTTTTTATATTTGGCGACACAGTTTTTTTTAAAGAAATGTATCTCAAACGAAAATTCAGAAATTGTCGTTGGTTAGTTGATAAACAAAATGTTTCAGACGATAAATTTGTCAACAATCACCTTTAGTTCATGTTCTTGTACAATACAATTTCTTGAACCTTCTGGCTGTATTTATTTCTAGTTTTTAGAATGACATGTTTATTTTTGCGCTTGAAATCTGGCTGTAAAGACGCACAATGAAGTCACTCCTATTTACCGCCATTTTGAGCCTTCGGAAACGTTCGGAACAGCTTCTCATCAAGTTCGCAATACTATTACAGGTAAGGTTGACGCATGCGCAGACGTTTTTCCGCGGTGTTAGGATGACTAGGATAGGATTTGCTATGAATATGAAAAGTCTACATTACCACGAATACCAAAATATAGATCTAATGTTCATTAAGATCGAATAAGGCAACATTTGCTTTCCTTTATTTGAACGCAAAACATGAAACCATAGCTGTATATAAGCGTTTTATACTCGAGAATATTTTATTCCAGAGTCTAATGACTGTCGCTCAAAGCAACTCGCTAGGGTTTGCTAAAAACTTACAATGGAAATATTTGCACATGAGACCCTGATCACGCGAGACCAAGTGAATTTGGAATTGTACATCAATTGTTCACAAGCTTTCGTTGCTAGGGATGCAACTACGTGAAAAATATAAGGAGAATTTCGACATTTCAAGCGAAGACCCTTCATTCAGTAACTCCAGACGAAGTGCCTTCGCTTGAAACGTCGAATTTCTCCTTATATTTTTCAGGTAGTTGCATCCCTAGCAACGAAAGCTTGTTCATATTATTGACACTACCTACACTGACACAGACACTTCAGGATTATATCACATCAATTGTTCTCCTTCATTTGTCCACACGGGAATTCCTACACTACAGCTGTTACTCTAATACATCTGATTTCTTGCGTCCCCTGAATGCGCGCTAGGGGAAATCGCAAACATTTGAGTGTGAGACAGGATGAGTTCTGTATACGTACCATAGTCAAATTTGAACAATCTCGATTTGTGTTTACACGCGAGGTTTGAAACCAAACAATTTGATCGTGCAGCTAACTCGAATACCCTTGTGAACAAATGAAATGCGACTAATTCGCGTCTCGTTGCGAACTCGTCAGCTCTCGTGGGAACGTAATGTAAAAATATGAACAAAACTTACTTGAAATTTTCACAGCAACACTCTCAGTTTATTCACTTTATTGCAGCCAGCTCTGTGGCAGTGTAATCAATGCCTTTCTCTCTGAATATATTACAAAACACTCGTGATCAAGCTGTGATCTCAAGTGGCATTCTGACTTCCTGTCTAGGAATTACTCAATTTTCATAATATGTTGATATATTTCACAGAATTCTACACATCAGTTGTTATTATTATGAATATAGAAGTTACATTTTAATCATTTTAATGCGTATATATAGCTTGAAAAGTTCAAAATATGGCATTTCTTGTACTCAGATATATTACGTCATTTCGTGGAAGCGATATTTATTTCACGTCACAAGGACTTGAAGGCCTGTTTAAATTAACTGTGGTTTAAATTAACGTCAGAAGTTGTAAATATTTGTTAAGAGGTGAAAATATATTGACTTCAGCCAAACCTAGAACGATCAAATATGGATTACTGAGAGTCAATTAAATATTTAGCTAGCGGCTAAAAGTTGGAACTCTCTTAATGACAATTTTTGGACAGTAATAGACTTTAACCAATTTAAAACTTAAAGTTTAAGTAGATAGTCTAGATAGATTATAATATATATAAATACTATATTGCTCGAAGATACTAAGCTCGTTGGAGCTACTCTGTAAATTCGAGATTAAATAAAGTGTATCTATGTATGACGTGAACAGGATTAGGATTACAATAAGGATTAGGGTTGTGGTTTTACAAAAGATTAGGATTTGGGTTATGGTAAGGGTTATGGTAGGGTTTTTCCTAAGTTTCATGCTGGAACACTTTTAACTGCGAATAATTTACCGCCTTCAGTCATGTGAACAAACACGTGACACGAAGTCAGTGAAAGAAAATCAGACATCGGGGGAAAAATCCCGGGGGAAAAACCCCAGAGAAAAATATCCCTGAACAAAAGTTCCTCGGAGCAAAAATATCCTGGAGGAAAATACCCCTGAAAGACACGCAGTGTAGTAATTTGACGGACGGGTCAGTTTATAAGCAAGAGAAGTAATAGCTCTATAACTCTATATGGAGTCGCTAATGAATGCAAATTCAAACACTAGCGATTTCAATAAAGTCGCTGTAGATAGTGTTTCAGTTGTGTATGGAATAAAGGTTCTCAAATGTCTTACATGATTGGCTACATTGCTGTTGTCTGTGATACTATGTTCCTTTGTACTATGCATAACATTACGGTTTCATGGTTGATAGTTCCATATTATACTTCTCGGAATTTGACTAAACACTATCGTGCAGCAGATGATGGTCAACCTGCAGTTATCAGAGTGAGAAAATAATTTGAGTTGTTTTCATTGAATGAAACTGTGTTTTTGAGGCGAATGAATAGAATTAAGAGACGTAGTTTAATTTATTTCTGCTATAAGTATGAACATTTGTGAAGTTGACGAGCATCTACTGCTCTGTAACACTTACTCACTGATAGTCTTCTGTCAATGTCTTCATCACTGTTCGTATGAGATTTTGAAAATTATATTGATGCCATGCAAATCAACATACAAGTTATCTTGAGTTTTATTAAACATTTACATACCATACTTCCTACAGTCTATGTTGCTATATATATACTATATATTTACATTCCACAATATTTTGTTCAGTTATAAAAGACAAAGATTACAATAATCTGTTTTCTATTCATATGATTATAAAACCTCGAAAATGTTGATGTAAAATGTATGTTGTAAAACGTATCTTTGAAACTAGTTACGAAGTTTCGCTACAGCAGTTGCGTAATATCTTTTCTCTTTCATTCCTGGCAGTTCTTTCCACTGATCATCTCCCATTGTGAAACTTTCTACTGAGTTGAGATGTCCTTCCCCCTTATTCCCTCCTCCGAATACAATAATGACGTCATGCACGATGACAGCTGAGGGTCCACTCCTCTTGTGTTTCAGTGAAGGTAATTTTTCACTTCGCCCAGTTTCAATGTGATACATGATGACGTCATTTAAAACCTGATCATTCTTATCCTCCCCGCCGACAACAATGATCATATCGCCCCAAGTAACTGTGGACATTCCTAAGACAGGCTTTGATAACGATGGACATGGCTTAATCTCGTTCTTGGTGAAATCATACGCAACTACGCTATCGGTACATGTGGTATCTTTACTGTGGCCTGTTGTCGCTCCTCCCAAGATAAATAGCTTCTCGTTAACAATCTCCGCTCTGTGGTTTGCCCTTGCCTGAGGCATTCTTGCGAGAAGCTTGACAGTATAAGGCGGTGCAAGGGATAGTTCATAAATTGCATCGGATGTTTTCATTTCACTCCAGCTATGTCCTCCTATAATATATAATTTATCTTGGTAAACTATGACCACATGGTGAGATAACTTGACGGGCAGTTTAGCATCAAATATCGTCCATCGCAAAGGATGCTGGTTCATCTTTAAAATTTCGATCAAGTCAGTACCATCTTGACCATCCCAACCTCCGGCAACGATGACATCACCGTTGTAAACACATGATGCTGATTTTGCTCGAGCGAGATTCATTCCTGGTAGTTGAGTTGACTTGCGTTCTGCTATGTTGTATTTTTCAACTGTATTCGATACACCTTTAAGCCCTGGGGCATTATAACCGCCAAGCATAATAATATCTTGGTTGTTGTCTGGAACTGCTGGATCTATAGCTTGGGCACCATTGTTTTTTACAATGCTTCCTTGCAATGCTTGCTGAACCATTGTCATTATTTTTTGAAACTGCTGTTTCATCTCGTCAACACTTTGCTGAATTGAAAATAAAATACTTTGGTGACCACGTCACAGTGTAGTCCTCATAATTCTCAACGCCAAAGGCATGACCGCAGTTCATGAATAATATTTTACTGGGAGTTGAACTGATTTTCGATGGCCGATTATTATATTGCCACCGAATAATAAAATATTTACTATATATATATATATGCTTATGGCTACATTCCACTTAAGCGTTTTCCGTAGGTACGTATATGCATGGAAAGTTTTCGAAACCATTTAAATGTTACTCATGACATAAGGAAATGAGTAAAAGGACATTATTCAGTTTTGTTTGTTATTTAATGTACATTTGTTGAGATAAACAGTTCTTATATAAAATTTAGAAAGACGGACGTATGAAAAACTCTCTCATGTTTGATTTCGTACAACTTCAAAACTAAAAGAACTGCTACCAGTTTATATGGCGTTGGGCAGGTTGCTGAGGTAATCTTCCTGCTCGAGTAAGCGAACAGTAGACTTTTTTAAAAAAATGTGCCTTGTGACGTAATTTGCGGATAAAGGAAAACCCCGCACAGCCATTTGGCTTGCCTGATTGGCCAAATGATCGTATTTATCCGCAAACGACGTTAAAAGGCAGACTTTTAAAAGGTCTATTATGAAAATGTTTTGAACGTTTGTGCGAGAGGGGACTTGCTAGATTCTCAACAAAGAACAAAGTGGTCGACCGATGGGAGCGGAAAATATCGAATTGCTTCGACAATCTCTTACGCAAAATGACCAAAAATCTTCATCCGCAACTATCTCGGTCGGTATTACATGAAAATGGACACGGCGCATGTCAAAATTAAAGTTAGACATTACTGAATGCAATGCACCTTGTTCCTAGCTCTTTTAGTTTTTAAGAAATACTAAATCGAACAGGAGAACTTTTTTGCGCCACCCGGTATACCACCGAAACTATTCAGTTTTCTTAATAGATCATAATTTCAGGTTTGAAATAATCCATTGTCGTCATTGTCATCGTCAACAATACACAAAACAATTCAATTCATTTCCATGCAAATCTGCAAAGAACTAAAAATAATCATGACTTACCTTTGTTTGATCTTGCTTTCTTTCTATTCCTGTGATTTTATCTTTCATTTCTTTCAATTCCGCTTTCATCTCATCCTGTACATTTTTATAAACTACGATTAGTACAGGAATTGTAAATAAATATCCTCCCAATGTTGACATACAGAAGATTTATTTTTATCGTCATGTAAACCTAGAATGAACCAATCTTATCTTACCTTTATTTTTTCTTGTTTTCTTTCCATTCCAGTGATTTTATCTTTCATTTCGTTCAATTCCACTTTCATCTGTGCTTGGGAATGTTTGATTTCGTTATTATTTTTCTGAATTGTAAAATTTAACTTTTGGTAAATGTGTTGCAGTGTTGCTGTTAAGATATCTACAAACTATGATTAATATAGTGAGTATAAATACATATATTGTCTTAAATTTCTTCCCAGAGTAAATCTACAAAACTATTATTTTGATTGCCATGCAAACCTCTAAAGTATAAATAAACAATCTTTATTTTACCTTTATGTCATCTTGTTTGATTTCCATTTCATCGATCTTCACTTTCATTTCAGCTTGTGATTCCTGAATTATAAGTATTGATGTTAAAAATGATCCAAAAGATGGCACTTTATACATTTTGACAGAGTATGGTTAGTATATTCACAATAAATAGATATCTTGTAAACTTTCTCTGCGGCAGTAGATCTACAGAACAATTATTCTTATCATCATGAAAGCCTCCTATACTGACCAAGAGAATCTTATCTTGCCGTTCCATTTTTCCATTTTTATAATTTACCTTTATTTCATCTTCACTTGCATTAATTTCATCTTGACTTGCTTTAATATCTTTGCAATCGTGGCATTTGGGGATTCTAAACTGACAGAGTTCCCTCTCGTGGATTTCTTTATCTCTTTTATTGACCACCGTCCCACATCCTTCATTTCCACACATAACAGGCGCAAAGCCACATCGCTCAACATGATTCTGTAAATTTCCAAGCTGGACGTAGCCCGGACATCCGCGCTCATTGTAATCACACTTGATTTTCAGCTCTGATAAGGTATTCTTTAAAAATCTCGGTGGATCTTTGAGGGTTTCTGGGGTCAGGTGTTCTCTGCATTCAGGACATGTGTGGGAATTACGAAGATGTTGAGATATACAAGAAAGACAAAATGGATGTTCTTTATTCTCGCAAGTTCGTGGATTTCTGAGCACTCCTTGACAAATAGAACAGAAAAGATCTTCTCTGACTCGACCTTCAAAACGTCTGTCATCATAACCTTGCTCATCGTTTTCCATTTTACACGCCATTGGTGAACGCTCGAAAGAAAATTACAAAACAATTGTTAAATTATAGATATAACTACATTTCTCGACAGCCATTCAACCTAAGCAGAAACATGCACAGAAAACTATACAAGGCGCTATTGAAAGACGGGGAAACTGGAAGACGTTTAGGAGACAGATATGTCCGGCATCTTCGTGATGTCACGAACAAGATACGCCACTCTTCTCATTCATCCATTGATATGTGCAAAAGGAAGGGAACTCGTCTCATATTCAAACTTGATATACTACCCATCCATTCTTGGTGAACGATTCCTTTTCACCTATCTCCTAATCTGCCATTCCCCAGGACCGGGGTTTTTTCAATCTCCCCCGAAACCGCTAATGGAAACCCCTTTATGCCCTCCCTACAACTTCCAAGTTCCCCCCTATTGCAGGGCACGGTATGCAGAAACACTGGTGTAATCCCTGTCGTTAGCGCTAATACTCACAAGATCCCTGTGAGAATTACTAACAACCGTGCAAAAACCGTCGTTAACCACATTAATAATCATAGACAACTGAAATTAGTCAGTACTTCAATACATGACCAGGCCATGAACCGAAACAACATATCAAGATTACCGAGTTTTCTTCTTATAAATGCTCGCTCACTGTTACCCAAAATAGACGAGCTATCCCTCTTACTATCAATACATTCTATAGAGTTTATTGCCGTAACTGAAACGTGGCTCAAAGATACTGTTCCTGAGCAACTAATTTACCTAAATAATTACAACATTTTTCGCAATGATAGATCTTACAGCCGTGGTGGGGGTGTCTGCGCTTTCATCTCGACAAATATCCCAGCTAAAAGAAGAATGGACCTTGAAAACCCCTCTCATGAATGCTTATGGTTATGGCTACGACCCCACCGCTTCCCAAGACACCTAACTGGATTAATCTGCTGTGTCCTATATAACCCGCCTGATACACCAGTCAATGAGCAAAAGGAATTAACGGCCTATCTTATCGATCAGATTGACCGAGTTAGATGTACCCACCCCGACTGCGGTGTCGTCTTACTCGGTGATTTCAACAATTTAGATATCAGCGATCTCCTGTGCCATCACAATCTTACGCAAATAGTGGACACCCCAACGCGTGAAGGTAACATCTTGGATCTAATTGTTACTAATCTAGAAGCCTTGTATTCTAAGCCTGTGATTATAGCACCGCTCGGCTCATCAGATCACAACATTGTTAAATGGTCCGCGAAAGCTAACGTTTTAGGAACAGATAATAAAACAATTAAGAAAAACATACGTTCCTTCCCCATGTCGGCACGTGCAGCTTTTGGAAGATGGTGCTGCTCACGTGAGTGGTTCTCTGATGCCGAAAGCAAAAACTCTGCGACCGCTCTAGCGTCCTCCTTTACCAACGAGTTAAATTCTGCTGTTGATAGGTTATTCCCGTCTAAGGTTATTAGAATTCATAACTCTGACAAACCATGGATGACGCCTGCATTAAAAAAACTGATTTATCAAAGGCAAAAAGCCTTTCATTCTGGTAACCTTGACCTCTGGCGTCACTATAGACTTAAAGTCCGAAACGACATAGGAGTAAAAAAGCGCGCATATTATACGAACAAGGTACAACACCTAAAATCCAGTGACTCCAGAAAATGGTGGGACTGCGTTAACCAGATGTCCGGGAAAAAAAGATCTGCAACCAATAACATTAAGATCGTTAAGAATGGTACCACTCTATCTGGTAAAGATCTCGCCCAATCACTTAACACCTATTTCTTAAGCGTGAGTAATGACCTACCATCACTGAATCCTCTCCTGCTACCTGCCTTTCTCCCTACACCAAGGCCTGTACCAAAAATTTTCCCTGACGAAGTTTGCACTAAGATGCTCAATACAAAAGTTTTCAAATCCAGCGGTCCTGACAATATTCCTAACCGGATTATTAAGGATTTCGCGTACGAATTGGCCGAACCTGTATGTCACATCTTTAATTAATACATCTCTGTCCACTGGTGAATTCCCTAACATATGGAAAGATGCGTTAATTACACCAATTCCTAAAGCGCTATCCGTATCCTGTGAGGAGGAGTTGCGCCCAATCTCCCTTACAGCCTCTTTGTCCAAAATTCTTGCGGACTTTGTGGTTAATTGGATGGTGGATGACGTGAAACATAAAATCAACCCGCAACAATTTGGTTGCCTTAAAGGAACCTCTACAACGTTTTGCTTGATCGATATGATCAACAATTGGCTAAGAACATTGGATGATAAATCGAGCTATCTGCGGATCGTTTTCCTCGATTTTAGTAAAGCGTTCGACCGCATCGACCATAATATCCTAGTCCCAAAGTTGCTGGCCCTTGGCGTCAGATTGTCGCTTATTCCATGGATATGCAGCTTTCTCTCAAATCGCCGTCAATCGGTAAAGATCGACAATTTCCAATCTGATTGGGGCATCAATAACGCAGGTGTCCCTCAAGGAACCAAATTGGGCCCTAATTTGTTCATAATTATGATCAACGATCTTGAACTGGCATCCTCTAGCACTGACCATTGGAAATACGTAGATGACGTAACAATATCGGAGTCTTTAAAGAAAAATGAAGTTTCAGTCCTACAATCTGATCTTAACACAATTGAAAGATGGACTGTTAATAACAACATGAAATTGAACGGAAAGAAATGCAAAGAAATGATAGTGAGTTTCGTCCGTAGCGAGAATGACATTCCCCGACTCCTCATTGATGGTTTACCTCTAGACTTAGTTCCTTCTTTCAAAATTTTGGGCTTAACCATGAACAATAAATTGAAATGGCAAGATAACACTGAAGCGTTAGTTAAAAAAGCCTCAAAACGCTTATACATTATTCGTGTCCTACAGCGCTGTGGTCTTCCCCCCAATGACCTCTTATTAGTCTACTTTTCTATGGTGCGCTCTATCTTAGAATATGCCTGTCCTGTCTGGCACACCATGTTACCAAAGTGTTTGGGGGATAAAATTGAAAAAGTTCAAAAAAGAGCTTTCCGTATTATTTATCCGACAACAGATTACGAAGATGCTCTCAACATCGCTAAATGCAAGCGCCTTGTCGACAGACGTCAAGAGCTATGTGCTAAAACTTTCAAAAAGATCTTAAAACCCGATGCTCACCTCAACCACCTCTTACCCCCACTCCGTGAAGAATCGCATGAACTAGCTGGACTTAAGAAACAATTCTAACTTCACATTAACTAAATGCAGAACGGAACGTTTTAAAACTAGTTTTATACCAGCAATGACTGCTAATTTTAATAGTAAATAATTTGTAGTATTTTAACAACTGTACATATATACGATATATCTATATTTATATTATTTGATATTCATCCTTTATTATGTTTCTGTAAGCATATTGCAATTCACCATCGGGTGCCAAAATGTGTTTCTTAATAAACCTCTAATAAACCTTTAATAATAATAATTAATTCATCACCGAGTATCATATTTTCTCATTCCAGCTTTCCTTCAATTGACCATTTGCGTAATACACTAAATTTTGAACTCAACAAGTCTAGACAAAAATTTCATTACAGCTTGAAAGAGCATCACAAAATTAGTAATATTCCAAAGTTTCGTTGCAAAATGTTGTAAAATGCGGAAAATATAGCCTTGCGAAATTTGCAATTTTCAGTCATTTTAGATTACAAACCGGAAATTGACAGCCTCGAACCCAACGAAACTTTGGAATATTACTAATTTTGTGACGCTCTTTCAAGCTGTAATGAAATTTTTGTTGAGATCAAAATTTAGTCTATTACGCAAATGGTCAATTGCAGTCCATAGAATTTTGTAATTTATCTTAAGGCCCGTTTACAGTTGTTAATTTTTGCTGCGATTTAAGATCCGATTTTCTTCTTCTGACGTATGTGAACGAGTGGATGAGTTTGGAATGTTTAGATGAGGGTACATACACTCAGAGCATTCATAACTTATTTACTCATTCACATCCTTCAGAAGAAGAAAATCACACCTAAAATCATAGCAAAAATTGCCAGTGTAAACGGGTCTTTATAATTTATCCTGTGTGCAGGCAGCTATCTTTAAGGATGGAATTATATTTGTATACAGCTATTTACACTGACCTGAAAGGTCAAGTGTCTTAAATCCCTAATTTTCTGTTTTCTGTTGTTTTCGTCGTCGAGAAATCGTGTTTGCGTTAAGCGCATCGCAGGCTCAGGGTGCAAGGATTAAGCCAAAATGCCATACTCCACGATTTGTATTCTTTTCTACTGCACCATAGCGCGTATGTCGTCATTTTCAGGTCAGTGTGAACGCCTGAGCAGGCGTCTTGTTCAATTAAGGTTGTCCCGGAGCAAAGCGGAAAATTGAAATAGTTGTATACCTTCATGGACATTGCCTGACCAATACCAACATTTTTTTCCGAGGGGTTTTTAAAACCCGTTTTTCCAGTTTTTTTCCCTTTCGTCATTTGCGCGACTTTGAATAGAATATGTTTGATTTTTAAGCAAATCTGCCCGACTTAAAATTTATTGTGTGTGCGGGGGGGGGGGGGCTGAAGTCAAAACCTACTGATGAACCAGTGGCTAAGCTACCCATTGAAACTGGCCATGCTATTTATCTCAATCGTGGAAATTGTCGAGTGGAAATTTATATACATTTATTAGGACAGGATCAACAAAATTACTTTAGTAATCAGCCAGATAGGAAACTTATCTGTAAATAAATATAAATCTTATCATGATAGAATATTGCTGTCAGAATATTGTACCATAGAACGACATTGAAATGTGAAACACACAAAGTGAAACACACAAAGTGTCCCTACTGTGCGTTTTTAGTTTCCGAACATTCCAGAAATTCCTTGGATTTCGTTATGAAATATTTTTGTTGGACTATGCAACATGTAAACATTTAAAACAAACATATATGAGTTCTTATCTTTTATATAAAGTACACGAGATTTAAAGTCTAAATTTCATCGTAGGTTAGCTAATTGTAGACAATACAAAGATAATGAAATTAATACACTTACCAAAGTCGAGGGATGGTGACAGTCTGACAGATTATATATTAAATATTTTAACTCTCAATCTTCAAGAGTCTGGTCCACTGGTCTAATTGCTGGATCAGTACTTGACATCAAATATTAGCAACGAGTTCTTAGCGTTTGCAACGTGATTAGTTATTATTAGTTAGTTAAATATTACAAGATGATAAAATGAGACTTACCAAAGTTGACAAATGGTGACTTATAGGTAATCTTTGAAGATTCTGTAACAAATTGTGTAGACAGCGTCAACTGTATTTTGTGTTTGAGACAACACCTTAATTTGTCGTAATATGTATTGTGTTCAAAATATCGCATGATTTCAAAAGGCAGCCTCTCAACATCTTTATAAGGAGATAACTGGTTTGGTTTGACAATACCATTTGAACCATCATCTGTGACAATCTGACATATCTTGAGACATTTGCATTTCTTTAGAATTCCAACTACGTCAGGTTGAAATTCCAAGTATCAATTTGAAGTTCAAAATATAGATTAATACAGCAACTTGGTTTCATACAAACAAAGAACTTTTTCTGAACTAGCGATTCCCTAGAGTTGGGGTAAACCCTTGGGTTAGGGCTACACCTTATACTGAATTGTTATGAACAAGCAAAGTTGAACTTCATTGAAAGATTAAAGAACTTTTGTTCAAGTATTGCATAATTATCTGTCTTTGTTAGGTTGTGTGAACCTTTTATATACCTATTGCGATATTTGCATTTGTTTCACAAGAATGGTTTCTGTATTTTAATTAAACATGTCTGAAACATTTACCACCAACGGCAAAGCATTGAATTTCTCATAGGCAACAAAGTCCGTAATCAGTGAGACTTTTAAAAGACCATTATATATACACTAAAGCTTGCTTGCATGAACTGACAGCTTGGAATTTGGCTAATCAGTCAGGTCAGTAACTCTCTTCTCAAACGCCAAACCTGGTAAATAGGGGCAGTAATATAGATAGATGAACAATTGTTTTAAAAACATCCAGTTTTCCAGCTTTAATTTGAGAACTTCGTGACGTCACGTGAAAACGATTTTCAGACGATAGTTTTTCTGCATGGGTTCATCTGTACACACGTAGAAATCTCACATCTTCTATAGCAAGTTTGCCAACAAGCCGTCCACAAGATGTGTTCGCACTGGTTGTCACAAGTTGTCAACAAGTTTGGAACAAGCTGTTAACAATTAATTAACAACCTTGTTGATGCTATCAGATTTGTTATACAAGGTTGTTCCAACAAGTCCGATACGGTCATTATATAACAATATTGTTACAACCTTGTTTCGCCAACCTTGTAACATTCTTGTTATATCATGACTGTATCAGACTTGTTAGAACAACTTTGTAACAATTCTGATCAAGCTTGTTCCAAGTTGTTAACAGCTTGTTCCAAATTTGTTGCAACACCTGGTAACAAGCAGTGCGAACACAACTTGTCAACAGCTTGTGAACAAATCAACAACTTGTTTGCAGACTTGTAACAACTTGTGCACGTTGTTACAGGTCTGCAAACAAGTTGTTACAAATCTGTTCACAAGCTGTCGACAAGTCATGTTCGCACTGCTTGTTCTCGATTGTTGTAACAAGTTTGGAACAAGCTGTTAATAACTTGTAACAAGCTTGATGGCATTATCAGACTTGTCACAAGGTTGTTCTAACAAGTCTGATACAGTCATGATATAACAAGAATGTTACAAGGTTGACGACACAAGATTGTGATAATATTGCTATGTCATGACTGTATCGCGGACTTGTTGAAACAATCTTGCAACAAGTCTAATAATATCAACAGGTTGTTACAAGTTGTTAACAGCTTCTTCCAAACTTGTTGACAACTTGGGACAAGCAGTGCGAACACAACTTGTTGACGAGTTGTTGGCAGATTTGCTACAAGATGTGAGATTTCTGCGTGTGTACAAGATGTGTTATCTACACACGTAAAAATCTCGCATCTTGTAGCAAGTCTGCCAACAAGCCGTCAACAAGTTGTGTTCGCACTGCTTTTCACAAGTTGTCAACAAGTTTGGAACAAGCTGTTAACAAGTTGTAACAACCATGTTGATATTATCAGACTTGTTACAAGGTTGTTCCAACAAGTCCGATACAGTCATGATATAACAATATTGTTACAACCTTGTGTCGTCAACCTTGTAACATTCCTGTTATATCATGACTGTATCAGACTTGTTAGAACAACCTTGTAACAAATCTGATAATGCCATCAAACTTGTTACAAGTTGTTAACAGCTTGTTCTAAACTTGTTACAACAACTGGGAACAAGCAGTGCGAACACAACTTGTTGACAGCTTGTGAACAGATTTGCAACAACTTGTGCGTTTTTACCACCTTTTACAAACGTAAAAACGCACAAGTTGTTACATACAGCCATGATATAACAAGAATGTTACAAGGTTGACAGGAAATTTTGTCGATCCAACTTGTCACGAATAACAAGTACACGTACGCGCGACAAGTGCGCTCGTGTGCGGCGGGCTTAACAAGTTTGTCAACAAGTTTGGAACAAGCTGTTTTTAATGACAACTTGTAACAACCTTGTTGATCCTATCAGGCTTGTTACAAGGTTGTTCCAACAAGTCCGATACAATCATGATATAACAATATTGTTACAACCTTGTGTCCTCGTGTGTGGGCAACATTTACGGCATTTTCGTTATTCACGAATTAGTGACGAAAATGTCGTAAATGTTGCCCGCACACGAGGAAATTTTGTTGATCCAACTTGTCACGAATAACAAGTACGCGCGACCATCCGAGTAGAGTGACTATGGCGCGACAAGTGCGCTCGTGTTTATGTGCGGCCACTGCGGCGGGCTTTTTTTACATGAGATTTTTGCGTGTGATCTATGTTGGAAACACGTGCGAGAAATATTGAAAGATTGTGAAAGGAAATGCAATTTCCGACATGCGGAAACACGAGTACTTCAGAGATTCATTCAAAGTTGACAAATTTTGCAAAAATTTTGTTTATTTTTAAAATCTAAAACAATATTCCACGTTGAGGATGCAAAAATACTCAAAAACAACCACAAAATGATAAAATTCTCTTCAAAAACTGGACAGAAAATGTATGGTTCACGGATATTTTAGTCTTGTTATGCTTGACGTACTATGTTGATTAATAATTCTACTGCAATTATGTTTCCTAATATTGGATGACGAAAATCATTGAATTGGTTTAAACTATTTACAAAATGTCTTCAGAGGAGGTCGAGCTGTTATCTGATAGTAAATATCGCCAGTTTATAGCAGCAGTTGAAAAAGCGTTGCGAAGTTTTGAGTCGACAAGTGAATGGGCTGATTTAATTTCTGCATTGGGGAAACTAAATAAGGTCAGTAACATGACATGTGACCGTATACAGTACGTGTTAAATTACGTAAGGTAAAGGGATTTCGAGCAACGCTATGTGCATTTGTACTTATCCATTCCTGATGCAAAAAGTTCAAAGTGCTGCTTGAGATTTCTGTCTATTAGAAACGAGGTGTTATACAGCCGGCAGAGGCTAATTCGGTACTGCCAGCTATTTAGTAGAGGGTCGTACAGGGGTGTTCTCGTAATATGTGAATAGTTGAATTTATTTTCCAAGAAACAGGAATCTAATAAATTGTTATTTGTGATCTGTGATACAAAGCTTTTGTGTGACCCGTGAAGAATTTAATTAACCATTAAGCGCCAGCGCTCTCCCCTTTGACGAGTAAAATTGTCTGGCATTAGACAGAGTAAAATACTAAAGTAGGGTGCAATACGACTCAATGGGTTAACTAGACACATGGGCAGATAGGCCAGTTAACCCATTAAGCGTCAGCGCTCTCCCCTTGACGAGTAAAATCATCTGGCGTTAGACAGAGTAAAATACTAAAGTAGGGTGCATCAGGGTGCAATGCGACTCAATGGGTTAATAACCGATATTTGTGATTTCACCATTTGTTCAAGAGTTTGACCTTATTCCATGTGATTTTAAGTTGTTAGTATAATATCTGTGATTCATTATTTCTTTTCACCTGTGAATTGTGCTGGAGACCCCAAGTACAATACTACCGTCTATTTAGTAGACTGCCGACTATTTAGCAGACTGCTGGCTATATAGTGACTATAGTTAAATTAATGTTGAATTTCTATAAGATGAACCGATCACAACCCCAAACCCTTCTCTAACTCTAACCTGTTGAAAGTTAGAAAAGGCTGGAAAAAATTTTAAGAAAAAAATGCTAAGTCAGGCAAAACAAAACCCGACCTGGATTGCATTTCACTTTCCACACACAGCGCCTTTATTGTGTACACTAATGGCAGAGAATACTACACAGAAGTCCATCTCCATTGCTTTTTGCGTAAGCTCTATTCGTCATGATTTGTCACTCAGCAAGTACCGTAAACAGAAGCAGCCCCCCCCCTGGAAATACTAAAAATGGTGCACATCCAGGGGGTGACTGCTTCTGTTTACAGTACTTGCTGAGTGACGAATCATGACGAATAGAGCTTACGCAAAAAGCAATGGAAATTGACTTCTGTGTAGTATTCTGTGCTAATTGCAAGCTAGGTAAAACGTTAGCGCAAACAAAAGTTTTACATTTAACTATAGTTGGTATATATAATAGTTTTGTTTGTGGAAACACCACGTAAATTTATTACTGCAGTAATGGGTCATTCCAGAAAACATCCATACCGCCCCCACAGAGGAAATAGGAAGTTAACCCCCCTACCCCCTTCGGATATCCTAATACATTTACTATTATCAGAAACAATTTTTTCTTCCCTCCCCCTCCGGACGGCAGAAATTTCCTCCGTGGGGGGGAGTATGGATCTTTTCTGGAACGACTCAATAAATTTATGTGGTGTTTCCACAAACAAAACTATTATATTTTATCGCCATGCAAACATACAAAGAACTTAGTTGGTATATAACCGACAGTTTACTAAATAGCTGGCTGTTGGCTATATACTAGTCACTTTGGATTAAAAACAACATAAATAATATTTTCCATCAAGCACAATGCCAAACAATTTGATATTTATCCATTACATTAGTATATATATATATATATATATATATATATATATATATATATATATATATATATATATATATATATATATATATATATATATATATATATATAGAGGAACTTGTGGTTAGAGCTCGACAACTGGTCTCTTTGTTACAGTGCTCTACTAGCATCTCAGGACTGCACGGTTAGGTCTAAAAATTATATATTGTCAATTTTCACTTGAAACGTTTAGTGTTAGATGACAAGGGCCTTGCACATTAATGGTTGAAAACAGGGGTAGACATACTGTGGGATTGTAGAGGCTGTGCACCCCACCTAGTCGAGTGTGGCACCCCCTAGGAAAATCTAGCATGTGCAGCCAAAAAATCTGCTTGACCATACATTTTCTACTTTTTGAATAGTGATTAGTGGATCGAACTTGTACTGTTAGCGCGTATCGATTTCTTGAAGCAATTTAATTGTTTGTGAGCTCACACGAAAATACTCAGAATGCTTTAGTGCAATATCATGGTTAAATATGTGAACATATCAAGGTTGTTATACAGCCATATTTTCAAATATACTGTACTGTACTTTAACCCATTGAGTGGCTGCTCTTTCCCCCTGACGAGTAAAATCATCTGGTGTTAGACAGAGTAAAATAATAAAGTAGGGCACATCTGGCCACATTGCCACTTAAAGGGTTAATATTTGCAAATTTACTGTACTGTGCTGCAGCAACTGTCCAGTCACATATTTGTGATAAAAAGTCGATATAAACTTTAATAATGTAAAACGTAACAGAACGGCAAACATGCAGATTCGGCATCTCAAATAATGGTAATGTTGGGAGAGTATAGCGTTGCAGACTGCAGAGGAGAGTGGGCAGTAAGGCTCCCTCATGCACCACCCCAGGGAAAACCTACACCCCTCCTTGCAAGTGAGGCTAGATCTGCCCTTGGATAAAAAACTAAACATGCATACTGTTTTCCACATTTTCCAAACACTTTCGTGTACTATTTCTCTTTACCAAGGACTTACTGTAGACTTGCTTTTTATTCACAGGTTTTAAATTCCTATTCCAAGTTTGTTGTCATCCCCAGAAAACTAATGATTGGCAAAAGACTATCACAATGTATGCATCCTGCTTTACCAAGCGGTGTTCATCTCAAAGCATTAGAGACGTACAACCTGATATTCGAGCGTATCGGCAAGAAACGCTTGTCACAAGATCTGTTTATCTATAGCGTTGGACTGTTCCCGTTAATGAGTCACTCGGCGATGTCAGTGAAGCCTGCATTAATGAAATTGTACGAGGAACATTTCTTACCTTTGGGCATGGCACTTGTGCCTAGTCTGCCTGGGTTGTTACTCGGACTTTTACCTGGAATTGAGGAGGGGTCTGATTATACAGAAAGGTATCAAGCTATATTATTTTGAGATCACGCATCCATTTTAGCAACTTTGTGACCATCAACAAGTTTGCCATATATGTACAGAAAAAAAACACTGAAAAGCTCCAATGGGGAGTGTTCAATTAAATATTGTATTTGTATTTGAATTTTGTACAGTACATCGTTTTTACAAAGCCTAAAAACACCTCTTTTCATGAAATTAAACAATGTTTTTGCTTGTTTTAATTGATATTGACTTTTAATTTGATATTGACTTCAATTTGTTATTTATAAGAAGCAATTTTTTCAATGTTTCAAATTTGTGATAAAAGTTAAAATCCTCTCGAAATTACTTTGTTTTAGGTTTATTTTGTACTTTACACCGTCAGCAACCTTTTAAAATTTATCTGGTTGTTGAAACGTATAGAAACACAAAATAATAGTTAGTATTGTCAATTTCAACACTATCATTGATGCTTTCAAATTGAAGCCATACGTATACAGCAAATAATATAAGAAAAACTTACCATACTTCAGACATTATTTTCTCTTTGGCGTGCCATCTAAAATCTCTTCATTTTAGCATAATTTTACAGACAAAGCACTAAATCTCATGCTCACATGGTTCAAACCCTAGCTTTCTACTAATTGGATCATTTGAATTTGAAGTTATAATATTCACCAAAATATATTGTATATTTATTTTGTCATTATTCTTCCAATAGGACGATATCTCTGCTAGAATCATTCAGTGTTGCGACAGATATAGATGTATTCTTTGATGCATTGTGGCAATCAGTGATCACGACTCCTGTTGGCCGACTGCCTGCTTCAATATTCCTACTTTCACGACTCGATAAACATTTACCACCAACGGAACAGCAACATTTGTTGGGAAGGAATCATGCATTTATGGTGAGTTCATGGTCATTTGCATTCGACAGAGTAAACATGCAAAAAATCGAATAGTAGAGAGTGAGATACTGAAGATACATAGTGAGATATTTTCCATAATATCTTCACTAGTGAAGATATTGATCATGTGACTTTGTCCAATTTACTTTTGAGTGTGAAATTTCACAGTTTTTTTGCTTGGGACTTAATATAAGACTAGACTAGATGTTTATTTACCCATAAGTTTTAACAAAAATTATTACAGTTATCTTAATTTTGCAATATGCTAAATGGTTACTGGTGATCTCCTGAAATAATTAATAATAAATAACTAATATTAAACTAATAATAACTAATAATCAACAGAACATCACACGGTGGCTTCAAGATATGTTTTCACCACTCGAAGATAAAAGCCATATCTTTGCACCACCTTGTAATATCCTCTATTTATTTAAATATCTATATTTATCAAAAATATCAAATGAATATATTGCATCAGCCTACTAGTAACATTACATAATTGTAGATTTTATTTTTGTGGAGGTAGCCAATCTTCAAATGGAGCTACAGTAGGCTATACCACATACTCTCGTACCCAGATCCCATCTTACATGTGGTCAATTACAGAGAATGATGAGGGTTGAGGGGTACGAGAATGGGTTGTGCCGCAACTGCAGATCAAAATTTAGCCTCTAATTAAACAAGAACAAAGTGATTTTT